TAAATTGGATGAGTGATGCTCAAAATTTGCTATTTCAACTGTGTCAACCAATGTTTCTTCTGAGAGTTCGATTACAACAAATTTTTCCTCAGCAGAGCATGGATTTCGAAGGTACTTGTCCTTGTCTTTGCTTAAGATATTAGAAGCACCATAGGCATCCTTGTTGGATGCTAAGACCTTAGCTCCTTTTGATGAGGAAGCATAGTTGTGCTCGGCCCCTCCAGGCTCAACTCTATGTTTAATGCTCCCAGCATGGCTGCTCATGTATCTACTCCTGGAACTGATTGCTCTGTTTTTGAATTCATCAAGTCCTAAAGGTACTGCAAGAGAAAATCTATCTGATATTGAATCTTCTCTTACTGAAGTTGTGGCAAGATCTGATTTTCCACCCAACCCTTGCTCCTGAAAACGTGAATCTGGACTCGCATCATTCGACAAATCTTCTAATTTACCATTTACATTTTCAGTTCCAGCTGCTTCTGAACATGAAGCCTCAGTAGAGTCCACAGAAGGAGTTTCCGTTAACGAACTCCTGCCATCAGGTGAAGCAGAACTTTGCCCCACATCAGGTTCTCTTTTGTCACCATCCCAGATTCTTACACTAACAGGAAAATCTGTGGATCCATCTACACCCACCAAAAGGAACAAGTTAAATACAACGAGTAAAGAGATTAGAGGTAGCAGCTAGTAAAGCGAGCAGGCAAAAACCATATAACTGGAAACAGTGATCTGAGGGACCAGAACTTAAGCACCCAAGCTCATAGGCAAGTGCAATTTTCATACAAACCAATTTATGCTATCTCAATTTTGTTACAGGATATTCCTCCTCTTTAAAACATGGATTCCCTAGCTTTGTACTTGTGTTGCGTCTGTTTAGGTTACTAGAATCTCTTTGACTCACTCAAACCAGAAAACAAGATGGTTCATTTTATTTAAGGAGGGGAGAGCAGTATGAAAGAAATTGTTGATGAACACAGGAAAGAGGGATGAACCAACGTCTCCCAACAATTTATTCAGGCATTAACAAGAACTCTAACACACGATGCAACAATAGTACATCACTTTTACCCGGGAATTGCCGCCCCTTAATATAAAGGAAAAGGATTAGTCTACTGATGCAATTGAATGTTTTTTCACACAGGCTAATCACTGCAAACTCAAAAACAGGCAAATAACTAGGAGACAAGGTCTAAGGAACAAGATTGATCATGAATCATGAAAATGGAGATCACCATGGCTGTGTCAAAATTCTATAACCAGAGCCATGGTGATAAACCACCGAGATTACATATTCTTGAGAGCCCTACAACTGCTCTCCCTTGGAAATTGATAGAAAAACTTTCCCTTGATTGAATGAAAAAGAAAGAGAGAGAAGAAATTTTTAAACAGAAAGTCTGATCATAACTAACCTTTATAATTATCACTTTGCCCAAACCATATGTTCAAAAAGAACACGAGTCCCCAGAGAACAACTACGGCAGAAACAGAAACAGAAACAGAAACCTTGCACAAGTGATTCCTCCCACAAATAGCCCTTTCCAAAGCTCTTCGTTGTAGAAGAGCTCTACGTGATCTCTGCATTGCACATCAATCTTATCTGCTGCAGATTACGAATATAAAGCTACAGATGCAATACCACCTACACAAGAAAGAAAAGATCTTTCCCTTAATTCCATAATGCAAATACATTTGTCAACTCTAATAGAAGCAAAAGCACCTGTATTTACTAAGCTTAATGTCCAGATCACATGAGTCACTTTGCCATCATAGCTGATAGAAAAGAGCAACGTCAACCAATTAAAAAGTCAAACAAAAGGCAGCCTTTAAGTAACAGATACTATGCATCCATACAACTAACTAGTTAAGATGACTCCAACAAAGTGAAAAGACGTTACATCAACTACTTATAAGTATCAATCAGAACTGCCTGTGTTAAACCCTCCAATTCCACCAAGCAGTCAAACGCTAAACATGTAGTCTAATTGTGAAATTGAATAAAAAAGAGCATCAATGGCCAGGTAAGAGAAGCAAGAACGCGTAAGATCGCGCATGCCAAATAAATCATGGAGCTTTGATTTCACAAGAATTATTCTTTAACATATTAATGTAACAGATGAAATGCTATCTATACACTGTAAAGCACATGATCGTTGCAGTAGTAAAAGAAATGAACTTTTATACTCTCAACATGATTGAATATGCAGAAGCACATTACTCAGGTAAGAAAACCATATGGATTCATCTTGGCTTGAGGCTAAAGAACAACGTTGATGTAAAAGCCAACGGTTTGTGTCTGAGAAAGTGAAAGAACAAAAAATAAAAGAGAAAGTGGAAATCAAAAGGGGGGAACATAACCGTAGGAGTGAAGTCAAGTATAGTCACGCTTTACATACAAGAAAGAAACGAAATTTCACCAGATGCTGATGGCAGAGTTTCGCAACAACTCAAACGACCACAAATTCAAAACAATTGAATGCACCAGAATTTAAATGAGCAGAAAAATCCCAGATCTTATCAGACCTCTCAATTCTCTTCCAGAACTGAATGAGAAACGGAAACTAATCGATCAGCACACCAGACGGCATGAAGCAGAGATCTTTATCTGGTGTGATTAGCTAGAAGAAAAAAGAGTAAATTTCTTGAAGAAATCCAATTCGGTAATTGGATCAATAAAAAATAAGCATTCCCAATAAAGAGCGAACATTGGAAAGTGGAACTCATTGGTCCAAGAAGAGCAAATTGATAAGAAGTATAATCACCTGAATTGTCGGTGAAACAAAGGGGGCGTCAAAATCCCAGGAATTTGGAGGGGCAAAGCCTTAGCTTAAGCTCATAGAAATCCTACCACTAGTCCCGCAGTAATCGTGTTAAAAAAAAAAATTCTATCTTTCGCATTTATACCACCATCCGCTGGTAATGGTTTAATCTTATTCTTCTTCTCTTCTTTGTTTAATCTTAACCTGGAAGGGAAAAGAGTGTATAACGGTTTTGTGTGCTGGCCAGCGCCGATTGTCCCTTCTTCTGTGCATTTTTTTAAACTCTAGTCTAGTGGGATCTCTCTCTCTCTCTCTCGGATGATTCTTGAAGGGAGACTGTTTTGAAAAAGAATTGAATAGTGAATAAAAGTTTTACCCCCCGCCCCCCAAAATCGGTTGAAAGCCTCGCCACGCAAGTGCAATAAAATGGGAAGTATACAGCCAGTGAAAGTAGCAGTAGTAGCAGTGCTTTTCCTAAATGCTGGCCAAAAAAGGAGAAAAAAAAAAGAGAGAAAAACAATAATGATAGATCTAGGAAGGTACTCTATATTTTTGCCCAGAAAAAGGTCCCAACAATAGATGGTGGATTGAATTTTAGTTATGGAAGTAATGGCAATTTTTGCAGAGGAAACGGACAGAGGAGCCGCTGCTGTCCAAGCCTGGAAAGGAGCAAATTTTCTACCACTCTGCCGCTGGTCGTACACAATTGTGGTCCGTCGCAAAACAAACAAATGCCCTCATTACATTTTGCAAAACGTTTCTTCATACTGCTAAAACCCATGAATTTAGTTCCATTTATTGGCAGAGCAAGCAAATCGTTCGCTGCTAGGTTTTGTTTTATCATATGAAAAGAAAGAATTCCGAAAAGAAAGGCAAAAGACAAAAGCCACCTGAAATCCCGCCATGTTCTCAAGTCAAGAAGGCCCATGAGAGACGCATTAGCTGTATTATGAAAGTATTACCCCGACGAGAATACCAAAGTGGTAAAGAAGAAATGGTACTTACTAACAAGAAGGATTTTCAGTGCTTAAATAAAATTTGGAAAAAAAAGGGTCTAGTATTTCGAGGAGTGCAGGGGCAGCATAAAAAGGTTAAGAAGAATTTTTTTTTTTGATTGATAAAACGCACCTGTCCGATGGTCGGAGGTGGTGGCAAGGGTTGACGTGTTGGCTGCCACGTGGAGCATGGTGAGTGGATGATCCGACGTGGTCAATAAAAATGGAAGTTTAACTGGCGGTGTAAACTGTAAAGATTCACGTGTTGGCTTTTGTGGGTCGGCCGGCAGACGTCGCACTCCACGATGACGGCAGACACAGCTGAGTCATAAAAAAATCTGATCCAATTCAGCAAATTCAAATGCGTGTTGTTGCATCCTCCTGTTGGAAGCTGAGCTGGATCCTGCAAGTCAACGTGGGGAGCTGGGGGAGCAATTTCTAAGTACCAAAAAAAAAAAAAAGAAAAGAAAAATCATGCAGATGCAGGCAGTACGTAATATTCTGGAATTAACCAGGGGAGGGCATCTTGATGCTGTTCCGTAGATCCCATTTGATGCATTAAGGAAAAACATATAGTAATATGCTTCCTTCTGTTAGAAAAGATCCGTCTACTCTCTTCCTCCATAACATAGCAGTAGTAGATTAGACTGTTGTTGACATTAGATGTTTCCAAAGTCAACGCAGTACAATTCAATTTTTTTTTTTTTGGGAAAATATCATATAATAGCATTGTGGATAAGTTATTTAACTTGATTGAATTGCCTGCCTTTTCTTGAACGGCATATCATGAATTCTTGACGCATGCCTATGGACAGATGATCGTCTTGGTATTTAGTGGATAATGTGCAGAAAATGGTGTTAGAGTTCAGTGGATAGTTTATAAACAGTTCTATGCAGAATTACCTATTCCAAACTCTTGTTTCTCTTTTCTAAGTTTTCTTTTCTTCTCTTCCCCCGCGGGGGGGGGGGGGAGTCATTCAGATAGAGAGCGACAAAACAATGAGTTTCAGAAAACGGACATTCTTGCTACTGCTGAACTTGAAACTTGAGTTGTTGAATCTCAGAAGCAATTTAGTTGGTAGTACTACTTAGTACCAATGACTGTTGCACCAAAATCCAAATAAACAAACACCAAAAAGACGGCCAAACTCTGCGATGCAAAACAATCAATCAACAAATATGTTACATAAGAGTTGCGCAGTTCAGTTTGAAAAGTAATGGTGGAAACTAGGGAGCTCCTGCAATCGCCTTAGGGATTCTTAGGAAATGGTGGAAATCTAGGAAAGTCGCGAAAATCAGGTCCGCTAGCGAACCCCTTGGCGACTATTGTGGCAACAATAATGAACCCTATCAGTAGGGCAGCGACGAAACAACAGTACAAAATGAAACCAATTGGTTTGAACGTTGCAAAAACCTCCCTCCAGGCTATATCTCGACCGCGGACCAAAGAAGCCCAGGCTTTAATAGACGAGGGGAGTCTGCAAATACTACAAATTGGACCAACCAAGTGCTTTCTGAAAGCTCCAGGAGTTCTGCTCCCAAATGCGTGGAGACTGAAGAGCTGTTTAGCTTGGTTGTAGGACAATCCGTACACCTTATACGTACCATCAGCTCCATATTTAGACTCCAACTCTTCATCTCTTGCTGTTATGACAATTCTACTCCCGCCACCAAACCAGTTGCGTTTTCCTGCCAAGGCCTCCAACTGGTTTGCATGGTCCACAGCATCAAGAACCATCAGGGTCCTCAGGTGTCGAAACCGGCGTGCCATCATACTCAGCCCTTCGCTCGTGCTTCTTATCTTGACGTTTCTTAGCTTGAGCATCTCGGAGAGGAGGATTTCTTGTAAATAATCCACTCCGTGTTTCTTGGAAATTTGGCCAACATCATCCAGAAAACAAGCAGCTTCATACTTATCAGAAAATCTGTCAAAAAGACCTCTGGCAATAGTTGTCTTGCCTATTCCCGCCTTCCCGTGGATTCCCACCCTGCGGACTTCGGGACTTCTCAAATCCATCAACGAAATGACTTCCTCCATATGAGATCCTACTCCCACCAGATTGTGTTCGCCAGGTGGTAGTTCAAACTGGCGCAACTGACTATGCAGGTCTTGAACAAATTTCTCGATGAACTCATCGCTGTTGATTGATCAAAATGTCCAAGCACGACATTAAGTATTAGTTATTTTGTCTAAGAACTGTCCTTCACTACAAAATCATTTTTCTCAATCTATAACAAGCTGAAACCAGAAAGTAAGGGCAACCATGAAGCTAGCTGGTAGTACTTACTCATCTGCGAAATTACAAGAGTGTCAGCCTGATATGCCGGCTGCTTGAGACAAAGCTTCCTTCCACTTCTGCACCTTCTCCGGGCTATGGTCTCTGTCGTGTTTCGCAAATGCATCGGCGAAGCTATTCCTCTGCTTGCGTACGTCTGACGGATCGGCGTCGTAGAATATTGGCAACACAGATTGTCCAATGGTCTCATGACATTCGGTGATCTTTACAAGTTCCTCCAAGCACCACGTCGAGGATGCATAGCCCTTGGAGAATATTACGATTGAAAACAATGATTCTTGGATTGCTTGCAAGAGTTCGGGTGAAATCGACTTGCCCTTCTCCAATCTCTGATCATCTTTGTAAGTATAGATGCCTTTACTGCAAAGGGCTCGGAAGAGATGGGCTACAAAAGTTCTGCGAGTATCTTCGCCTCTGAAACTTAGAAAGACGTCATAGGTCCATGTTGTCGAAGAAGAAGACGATGATGATGAGATGTCAATCCACCTATTATCATGATGATTTGAGGCGCTAGAGACCACCAGTGCAATCTCGCTCTCTCTATCGTTTACTGCATCCATGGTCTATCAGGTCTAAATGAATAACAAACTATTGATACTAATAAGAGTGCAGCAGGAATATTCCGTCGATAATCTCTTTGCCCGAAAGCCAATTTAATACTAATTAGTATCCTCAATTTATTAGTCAATACACAACTTCCTTCCCTTCTAACGGCTGGAGAACAGGAACAAGAGAAGGTAGCATAATACTGGTAGTACACGTCAACGAAGAAAGACGACGGAAACTGCCATTGAGGTGCATTCAACAACCTGAGCAGCTGCTAAGGGGGCCTCTATGCAAGTATATATATTAAGAAGAATCAACCCACTCCGCCTCTGGCTTTGCTAAGATGACGCGCACAATTGGTTGCATTTACCATTTAGGGGTCCGTTTGATTAGGAGTAAATGTTTTCCTTGGGAAAATATTTTCTATGGAAGTGCTTTTTCAGGAAAATTATTTCTTTTTCATCATTTTCAGGTATTTGGTTAGCCTATCGAAAATATTTCCCAACTTCATTTTCTGGTGTTTGTTTAACATATCATAATATTTTCCAACTTTGGAATATTGTCTTGCTTTCCTCTACCTTTACTTTACAAATTCTAACCACATATTCCTTCTTATAGAGAATTGAAAAATTCATTCCATTGTTTAGCTTTAATAAAAAAATCTTAGGAAATTGTATATATGAATAAAAAATTTTCCTTATGCAACAAATAAATTGCTTGTGATCCATTGTCAATCACACGCCATGCCATTGTGATATAAATTTTGTATTTTCCTCTTTCCTTTCTAGTTTCTTATTTTATTCCCAAGAAAATATCTTAAAATGAAATTGTGATCCGATTAATAATCATCAATTGAAATTTGTGACACGTGGCATCATACAAAACATTAAAACTAGTTTTTGATACATTTTAAAACCTTCACCCAGAAATATGCAATTACAAACTCAAAACAAAAATTTTCGTTGAAATGGAATTTCTATTAGGAAGGATAAAAGAGAGAAGAAAGAGAAAAAAAAATAAAAGAAAGGAAAACAATTTCATCTTATGATATTTTCTTGAGAATAAAATGAGAAACTAGAAAGGAAAGAGGAAAACCCAAAATTAAAAGAACTGAAAGACTAAAAAATTGTATTTTAGGAAAGTGATTTGAATATTTTTTTAATCATTTAAGGAGAAGATAGATCTCTGCAATTTCTCTTTTTTAATTTCAATCATTAACGTGAAAATTTTTATGGGAAAGAGAAAGAATCACATATATATATATATATATAATAAAATCGTATTCTCATTCTTATCCCTTAATGTTTTCTCTTTCTTACGTGGCTTAACAAGACGTCAAGTAATTTCCTACGTGGCTTGCTTCTTTTTTGTTTAGATTAATATTAATTTTTATTTCCTATAAGAATTCTTAATATTATAGGATTCTTATTTCCTATCCAAAGTTATGTACTTTAAACAAATTAAATCAAGATAAACTTACTTTTAATGTTCTTATCAATATCTCTTTATAGCCTTATCAATTATTATTTCTTATGCCTACACTTCCATTCCTCTTGATTATCAGGTACATCTTCTTTCAATACATATATATTTTTTAAAAAGGCATGTTGATCTTCAATTGTAAAAGTTTAGTAACATATCTTGAATTTTGTTTTTTTTGTTTTATTTTCTGTTTGTTTTGTATGAAGATATATAATTTAAACAAGTACTTTGATCGTTAATTTTGTAGGATTCTTGCTAACATGTTTGTTAATTGATTTTTGTGATCATATGCTAAGATGCTTGTTAATTTGCCTTTAGGAAAAACAATCAAAAACAAAAGGCACCGAAAAGTAATGCTATTTCTATTATATATATCTGCAAATTCATTAGTTAATTAAAAGACTCTGGCCGTTTACTTAATTAATTCACTTGAGAATGGTTTCACAAGGTTTTTTTAAAAAGTATCTAACCTTATGTCTTACCAACATAGTTTAAATAGAAGAGAGGTTAGGAACCTAATCACTTAAACAACATGAACTTCCGGCAACTATTGGCTATATACACTTATAGTCTATGCTTCATAAATAGCGCCATGAAAGTGCTTTGCAGAATATATCAATTCCTTGCTCCCATAATCAAGAAGTTTAGAAACAAATTCTATCCACATTCATAATATTAGCTACCACTATCAATGCTGTCAGTAGTCGACATCCAACGAGTATTCTCAAATGTTGTCAGTAGTCGACATCCAAGGCCATGTATTGTAAGAAAAATATGGAGTATCCTAAATTGTGTAATGCTTGCAATCAAGATGTGGAGTATCCTAAATTGAGGTATGTCGTAGGTGTTTACCTTTTTGTCATTTTAATTGCTACAATATCTACATAAACATAACTTTTAGACTATGTGTATTTATACAGGTATATGTTAAAAGTCTTGACAAATGATGCAACCAGTAGTGCTTGGTTTGTTATATTTGATTAAGAGGCTGAAAAAATAATAGAACACAACCTTGATATTTTTGAATGTTATGGTATTATTGAATGTTATTTTTTCCATTTTTGAATTATTATTCACTAAATTAGATGTTCAAATTTATATTATAAGAATACTTTATATTACAATGCGCACATAGCAATATACTTAAGACAAGTTATAATACATTATATATTAAATTTGTATTTTATATCGATATTTTTATAAAATTGATTAAATAGTTTATTTCTTTTAGACGATTCCCATTCAACGAACGGGTACAAAACTAGTTAAATAAAGAAGAAAGAGAAAAAGAAATAAAAGAAAGAAAAATAAGGTAAATGAAAAGTCAAAATAATGCAAGGGCAATTTTGCCCTAAAGTGGGTTAAGTGAGCAAAATTAAAGGTTAGGGGGTAAACTGAAAAATGGGGTATTCTTTAAGGGGATAAAATATGATTAACCCTAAATATAATAGTAATCCGAAAGGATCTCGAAAATAAACCTGGTACCTGCCGTCCTTAAAAGAATTAGGGTTCTGGCAACTTGCTCTAACAACATCCAGAAATCAATTAATCGCTCATGGCGGCTGAGAATCCCAATTGCACGGTTTACGTCGGTAAGCTTCTTTTCTTCTGGTTCTGCGGATGCCTTTTCTGTTTTTCTTCTTTTTCCCTGAACTTCACAGAATTCTATTTTAGCGTGTTGAGTAATGGTGGATTAAATAATTCTGTTTCCTTTTGCCCTAAGTTAACATGAAAGGCTTTTTGGTTTTCTACTCCTTCCTGCTTATCCATAGGATAGGGCTTTTTTGCCTTTCCTTTCCGCGACTTGCGATTTGTCGTGTCGTGGGCTTCTCATTCGACATTTTGATTAAGCTGATTTTGGGGCAAAAGTATGATTGTTGATTGTCTTTTTTTCCTTTTTGGCTATTACGTCTCGTGTTAGAATTTGCTAGGGTTTCAGCCTTTTCAATATAGCCATAAATTATAATGATGATGTTGTATGGTGCTTAAAAATTTATCTATTGCGTTATGAGGTGTAAAATTTATTTTCGCCGAAAATGAGCCAGTGTTTGTTGTTAAGATTTAAAAGAATAGACATCATTGTACTTGAGTTCTGGTTATATAGAACTCGTACGTAATCGGACAATGGAAATGCACAGTGATTTAGGTTATCTTGACAGACCGCATTTGTCATGGTAGGTTACTCAAATTTGGATGTATCTAATGCCTTTTGGTTATGCCTGTTGCAGGCAATCTAGATGAGAGGGTAAGTGATAGGGTACTGTATGACATCCTGATTCAAGCTGGTCGGGTGGTGGGCTTGTACATTCCTCGGGATAAAGAAACTGAGAAGCCGAAAGGTTTTGCATTTGCACAATATGAAACAGAAGAGGTAGCAGACTATGCTGTCAAGCTTTTTTCTGGCCTTGTAACCCTTTACAAAAGAACATTGAAATTTGCGGTATGTCTTTGTTCTTTGTGATTCATCTTGTAAGTTTTACCTTATACACTATATTACTCCATCTTTTTTTGTTTTTTTCCCCAAGTTTGGGTCTTATGTTTGACTCAATTTGCTGTATGATGTGGTAACTTTTTGCTACATTTCATATGGTACTGCTATTCGTTCTCTCTCTCTCTCTCTATCTCTCTCTCTCCCTCTCTCTCTCTTGTTTTTGTTTTGTTTTGTTTTAACTCTTCAACATTGGCCTCCAAGTCAGCCTGCGACTGGTTTCTCTGTGGGACTCCATGAGACGGTTAAATTTGTTGCTCCTCCTGAGGAGGGGTTTGTGGAGCTTCCGCTTACATCTTCTCTTGAAGAGGCAACAACTGAATTAGCTTATGGACCCTTACACAACTGGTGTAGGCTGACATTTGTAAATTGTATTGAGGAGGCATGATTTTTCCAGCTTGCATAGAAAGTATAGTAATATTTGGACATTGAAAACAGATTTCTGGGCAAGACAAGCCCTCAATGAACTTGCCTACGGTAAGTTCCTCTCACAAACCGAGGCCTCACCCTGTAGCGTATAACGAAACGGGCGTTTCTCCAGATTCCATGAGGTTATCAACATCATGCAGGTTTCAAGATCACCAAGTAAACTATTCACAAGGTGATGCATACTTTCAAGACATCATTGCGTTTAGAAACCCTCGTATTTAATATTTACAACTTCTTCTGTTTTTGTGTTTAACAAAATTTGCTTTCTTATTCAGTGCGTGTCACTCCTGGTGTGTCTGTAAACCAGCCAAATGGGTATAGATCCAATTATGACAACAATGATTATGAGCATTCTAATGGATATAGATCACATTATAACAGCAACAATTATGATTACAGTCGAAGAGTGTTTGGGGCAGCATTGGATAATATTAATCGCTCTAGGTTGGGCCGATATGATACACGTGATTCTACCAGTTATTATGCCACGTATTGATTTATAAGATAGGTGGATACCAACTATAACTTTTCAGGTATGAAGCAATGTTGCAGCTATGATAATTCGGGTAGCAAAGTAGAAGGTTGTATATGTATAGCTCATGTTTATGATTTTAGCATTTGTGTGTATCTGCATCTATGGTGTTTGTGTTTTACCTTTGCACTTGTGAAACCTGAATTTCTTGGAACTTTATGTTGTTGTAGCAACGAGGTCATTTCTATGTTTGTACTTTGAAATTGGAGATCCTAGTAGTGATAATCAGTTGTAATCATTCAATGGATGACTTATTCTCTTCTGTTTTATTCTTTTTTATTTCTGAACTGTAATTTGCTGTTATCCTGTATGATAGCTTAACATATATGGCATATTTTTTTTTTTAAAAGTCTGATTATATTACTCTGGAGATATGCCCTTTAGATTTGGAAAAGATTTTCCCTCTCATTTAGTGATTCTCCTTAATGGAGCAACTTTTGTGGAACAAGCACGCACAAATTCCTTTTCAAGTGTAAAGCTGGGGATGAGTGTCAGGTACCATATGGCGTACCTGATAAGTTTATTCTCCGTAGAACTTGTGATCTGTTGCATTAACTGGAAATCCAAGGTACTATTTTTTGGCTGAATCACTCCAGAAATTAATGTATTATTTTCAAGTATGGGAAAAGAGCAGAGTTGAGCAGACGAGCATTGTTCCTATCATGTACAATTAGATTGTTCAGTATGCATTTGTTCATGTGTGCAACATGTCGAGATCAGTTGGTTTACTAGGATTCTGTTTCTTGGTAACTGCTTTACGTTTTCATTCTGATTTGGTCTCGGGAATCTGTGATATCTATCTCGTCGTTTGATTGTGTAGCTGCGTGCTGTATAAGAAGCTTCATTGCTTTTGGTTGTTTTGGGGCTTGTAAAAGTAAAATTACCAATCTGTTTGTTTTGGCAAATGGGAAAGATTTTTGGAACTTTTTAATTATACGTTGTTTTATAGGCTTGCAGTCAAATCTTGGTTTGGCTTCAGTAGAGCAGGATTTTCTAGTCTGCTCCTTGCAAGAGGCCTGTATTTGTCATGAAAATAGTTGAGGCTTGCTCTTGTACTGGCCATAGCGAATAACAACTGATAATTTAAAGCATGCACTTGCAATATGTTTTCCCGTTTCTCACTGCATTCCTTGCGCTTTTGTTCTTGCCCTACCCCTGCCCCTTCCTTCGACTTTCTTTTCATGTTGTGGAGTCAGACGAATGGAGGAGCAACTTTTGTGATGTAAGATGATGTCCATGGTTCTCATTGTAGAGAAAATTACAGAAATAATTGCTTGTGCTCTTAAAAATCATGTGCTTGCTAACGTTGCTCAGCAGGGGATTAGTGGTCTAATGCAATCGTAGCTAGTTGGTTCCACCAGGTTTCCATAATTTGCCGGGTCAGTTTTTTGATATTCCAGGGTCTGAATTCTGATGCAGGCAAAATAAAATACTATGGTTAAAAAGAAAAAAAAAGGACACAAATTCTTCTACAATTTAGAGATGGGATAATATGAAATTGGGGAAATATGGAAGTGTATGGGGTAAAAACTGAGAACTCATAATTACAAAGAGAAATTCTCTTAATGAACGCGAGTAAAAATTATCAACTGAAGAACTGGGCGTGGTTGTTGCGAGAGTGAACGCGACATATCCTATTGGACGCGGGAGGAGGAACCGTAATGTAAAACATGTTCCTGTGTCTATGGACTCGATCATCATCAGTGATTTCCGTAACCTTTTTATCAGCCGCATCGACACTTTCCATCTTCAATGGTACAGCCCCCGTGTACCATACAAAATCAAATTTTATGCCCTGACAGGACCGAAAACGTATCGCTTGTACAAACTAAACAAAGCACTTGCTTTTTTTTTTTTTAAAATTTTCCTAATAGGAAGGGATGAGATTTAAGATACAAAAATGAGAAAGAAAGTTCTCAGAGAGATTCTGACCTCAATCTATTTCAAAGCAATAGCTTCGCTCGCAGGAAAATGTTTTTATATGCTAACTGAATACAATTAAGCACACGTTTACTATCTTTATTTCTAAGTGAGAACTAAACGGGTGGTTGTTACTAATGCTCAATTCAAAAATAAAATAATAAAGGGCAATACCCAATATTCAGGTAGAGGTGGCAATGGGTAGGGTAATATTTGATACTTGTCCGATAATTAATTCGATTAGACGATCGATGGGTAATCCGTTAGGATTTGATATTGATGAGAGGTATTCGATGGATAATCCGATAGAGTTTGATAAGAGAACTCTAAAAACTTGAAACTCGACATAAATACACGCAGATATAGTAGCAATCTTTTCTACACAGACACTTAATGATCTTTTTATATTAATAGCTTTGAATGTATGCAGTGATTTTTTTTTTTTTTAACACTAACATCTTTGAGTGATTTTTTTTTTTCACACTAACATCTTTGAATGTATGTTGCGTATGTATGATGGCATTTTCATGTAGGTTACTCTCACGTAGGTTATATATATGACCCTACCAAAATTTAAGAATTCAATTTAATGTGTTGATTAAATATTATGTATGTTTTAATTTTAATTTGATAATAGTTAATTACCTTTTTCTCAATTGTTCAAATTAGCCGGGAGAGGATAGCCCATCAATAATGCAAACTCGAGAGCGAGAGAGTTTGGCAATGAAAGTTAAAATCTGTAAAGTTACCCGACGTGATTGGTAAAAAAATTTAGATGTATGGGTTTGAGTTTGACGAGGAATGTTTTAAGGACATGCGACCCGCTGCCATCCCAGGCTTCAACCGAGCGATTCCGCACAAAAGCACAAATGATGCAATAGCAGGTAGTGTCTCTCAAGAAACAACAGAATATCTCTAAGCTTGATGATCTTTTTTACGCTTGATTGAGCTGATATGATGAAGGCAAGGCTGCATTCTGTAGCAGGTCATCTGAATAGAAGAGGTCAACAGGATGTCTTTCAGCTGAATTTAAAGATAACCCAGCTAGCCAAAAGAGGTGACATTGATGAGGCCGTCAGAGTATTCAACGCAATAGCACATCCCAACGCTGTCACTTACAACTCGATGATCTCCGCCTATGCTAAGAATGGAAGAATCAGTGAGGCTTGTGCTCTATTTAATCGAATGCCATTTAAGAACTTGATTTCCTGGAACACAATGATGAGCGGTTACTTGTATAATGACTATTTTAAAGAAGCAGCTGACTTATTTGATAAAATGCGTCGAAGGGACTCTTTTACTTACAGTCTCATGATTACTTGTTATGCACGTAGCGGTTTCGTAGAAAAAGCAAGGCGAATATTTGATTCGATGCCCGATAAGAGTTGTGCAGCGTGTTGGAATGCACTGATTACAGGGTATGTCAAGAATGGGATGCTCAGCGATGGTAGGAAATTGTTCAATGAAATGCCAGTGAGGAACTTGGTTTCGTGGAATACAATGCTCTCCGGATATACCCGTAGCGGGCAAATGTGTTTGGCTGCTAAGTTTTTCGAAGTGATGGAAGAAAAGGATTGGGTTTCGTGGAATTTGGTGTTAGAAGGGTACACGCAAGCTGGTGATCTGCATGCTGCTAGGGAGTTTTTTGAAAGGATTCCCAATCCAAGTGTTGTTTCTTGGGCCACAATGTTGAGTGGCTTAGCAAGGCATGGCCACCTTTCAGAGGCAGAGGGATTCTTTAACAACATGACGGAGAGAAATGTTGTTGCTTGGAATGTGATGTTGGCTGCATACATTCAGAATTGCAAGGTTGACAAGGCAGTAGAGTTATTTAATGAGATGCCAGAGAAGGATGCTATATCATGGACTACCATCATCAGTGGTCATGTCCGAATTGGTCAGCTTGAAGAAGCAAAGAAATTGTTGGATAGAATGCCTTATGAAAATGTAGGGTCACAAACAGCCATGATACTTGGCTTTATTCAGAACAATAGGATGGATGACGCCCGTCAAATTTTTGATCGCATGAGGAAACGTGACACTGTCTGTTGGAACACGATGATCGCGGGATATGCTCAACATGGAAGAATGGATGAAGCTTTCGATCTATTTCAAAATATGGCCCCAAAGAAAATAGATACTTGGAACACCATGATTGCGGGCTATGCTCAAGTAGGAAAAATGGAGAGAGCACTTGAGTTGCTTGAGCAAATTGAGGAAAAGAATGTAGTTTCTTGGAATTCCATAATTTCAGGTTATGCACAAAATGGGTTATACATGGATGCACTCAAGAGTATTTTACTCATGATTCGTGATGGAAAGAAGCCTGATCAATCTACTTTTGCTTCTGGCCTAAGGGTCTGTGCGAGTCTTGCAGCTGAGCAATTTGGGCAGCAACTTCATCACATTGTGGTGAAAAATGGTTATATGAAAGATATGCTTGTCAGTAATGCTCTAATTACGATGTATGCCAAGTGTGGAAGTATCTTGAGTGCCAGAGATGTATTCAGTGATGTTGATAACCTTGACGTGGTATCCTGGAATTCTTTGATAGCGGGCTATGCTCTAAATGGATATGGGATAGAGGCATTCAAACTTTTCCAAGAAATGGAAGGATATGCTGTCAATCCTGATCAAGTTACTTTTGTTGGGGTTCTTTCTGCATGTAATCATGCAGGCTTAGTTTCTGCAGGTCTAACCTTGTTCAATTGCATGACGCAGAAGTATGGCATTGAACCTTTGGCTGAACATTATACTTGCATGGTCGATATGCTTGGCAGAGCAGGAAGGTTAGAGGAAGCCTTTGAGTTAGTCAGGAAAATGAAGGTCCAAGCCACTGCAGGAATATGGGGTGCTCTTCTTGGGGCTTGTCGCTTGCATAAAAATGTGATGCTTGCTGATTTTGCTGCTAGGAAGCTTTTTGAAATTGAACCTCATAAAACATCAAGTTTAGTGCTTCTCTCAAATGTTTATGCTCAGTCAGGGAGGTGGGATGAGGTCGATAGAGTTAGAAATTTCTTGAATCAGAATGGCATTGAAAAGGAGCCAGGATGCAGCTGGATTGAGGATCAATGCCAGATATCGGTCTTTCAATCTGATGATTATTCATGGCCAAAAACAGCAGAGATGTATAGGGCATTACAGATTTTAACAACACAGATTATGGAGCTTTCCTGTTTAAATAGTATTGAGTGTACTCTTCTTGATGTTGGATGATTTATTTCATCACATGCATCAAATAAAGCTTTAGCGGTACTTCAAAATGCCTTCCTGCAAATTCACTTGTTCAGGCTCTTTTTGGTACTCGTTGAGAACTATCTTGGCTTTGCATGCATGAAGATGATATTGGTACTTGCTTAGGTATTGTTCTAATAATCTTGTACTTACTATTTGGAAGATATTTGGTGCTAATATCCAATACTGGGGATGTTATATTGCATGAAACTCTTGAATGCTACTGCTTAAACTTCAACTGCAGAAAAAGCAGTAGGCTTCAGAAAATAGCTGACAGCACCCACCTCCTTGCCACTTCCTCGTTTTCTTCTCCTGAAATCCTCTTTTCATGTAGTTAAGTATTTTCAGAATTTATATTTGTTTCCCTTTATTTAAAAAAAATTGTTTCCCTTTTGCGTTCATTGTCTGTTAAAATTTCTTGCTGATTTTAATTGTGTAGATAGAACTGCCAGATGGATTCAATAATGGAGCAAAGCTTCTGGTGAATTTAGATCTGAATATGTTTCTCGTCTTTGTGACTCTTATAGTATTTTTAAGTTCTTCATCTAGAGCACAAATAGATGTACATATTAAATGAGATGAAGCAGTTCAGAGATGCTTAGATTACTTTCAAATTTTAAAATTTAACTAAGCGGTGACCCATTTCATGTCTCATGAATGTAGATCCTACATGTGAGTAGAGTTGTATGGTACCATCTGAGGATGATCCTGTCATGAGCTAATTCAGAAGTTTGGCACACAGGAAATTTAACATCTGTAAGTGCTGTAAATTCCACGTTTACTTGCACTTTTTCCATCTCCATATATGGTTTAACTGCTTTTAGTTTCGAAAACTCATACTATCATAAACCTAACTATGAAAATGATGCTAAAATAGAACAAGCTCCCAATAAGCCACGAATACTACAATAGGTTACCTGTTTACATCACATAATTGATATTCCATTTACATCTGAAGACAAATTACGAAAGGAGCCTACATTTGATTTCTTATTTGTATTACATTTTCTTGAAACAGGACACATATTCAACACGAATTATTATTCTGATGGAGCTAGTCACAAACTCTAAATTGACGAGTGACTAATGAGGCTATCAAAATCAACCTACCGCTAGATCCCAACCCCATATGCATGAACAGACAAATATAAGACACGTGAAGCAAAAGATAAGAGTGTGTAGAACACGGTGAATGTCAGATTCAATGTAAGACATGTGAAGCCCTGTATCTCAGGGCTTGGTAAAGCTCTGTATCTTTAAAGGACTTTGCAATATGAAGTTCTTCATGCTCATTTTGTATTATAATAGTATTATTGTTTGAAACTTTCCTTTTGGGAAATTATGCAGGAGAAAGCTGTACTAAATTCCTGTTTAGAGAGCCTCTTAATACAAGAATATTGTAATCTTTCAGGTACCAAAAACTCTTTGATTAGTAGTTATGCCTTTGGGTCACTTCATATTGACTTAACAATTCAGCGTAATTATGAATTATGAACTCTTTTGATCAATCTTGACACAAATGTCAACTTCTAAACGTGTATGTCTGGATAGTAATTCAACTACCTGATGTAAATGAATGCATTTACTAAGAATGACTTTCGGTAGTTCTATGTATGATCTTTATCTTAGTTAAAAGCTGCTCCACTTTGAATTTGATTACCTTCTGTAGTATTACTAATACTATTGACTTCTTCTGCATGTCCAGAAATTTTTTTAATGCAAATTTATTGATAGATGTTTACATAAGGAAGTAACATATCATTCTGATGAACTGGGAGGGAAGACTAGTGTGAGAAGGTTGTTCTTTGACCTTCTTAACACTGTACTATTAACTGTGTATACGTAGTATTTGATCTTCGCAACGTTATGGTTTTGCCATAGTTTTCATTTTAGTACAAGAAACTCGATGATTCTACTATGTCAACAACAAAAATTTGTGTGCACACTTTCTTATTGCAGTTCTGGTGAATTAATGTTGGCAATAGGTCAGATTTTGTTGTTTGAGTTTTTCAATGACTACCTTACTGAGACTCAGCAGAAATTTGATGACCTGAGTATGGTGTTTATGATCAACTGGTATTGCAGTTCAATATGTATATCTCTTTTGGCTCTTGGCTCTGATCATCTCTCCCCAGATCATGCAAATTAGGTTTTTACAACGTTCAAACCATATGGTTCCATTTTCGGCGTTTGTTTCTTAGCTGTCCAACTCTTATGTAACATATTTATTAGTAGACAACTTAGGCTTCTTTGAACAAATTCAACAACTTAAGTTTCAAGTTCAGCAGTAGCAAGAATGTCCGTTTTCTGAAACTCATTTGTTTTGTCGCTCTCTATCTGAATGACTGCCCCCCCCCCCCCCCCCCGGCCGCGGGGGAAGAGAAGAAAAGAAAAGAAAAGAGAAACAAGAGTTTGGAATAGGTAATTCTGCAGAGAACTGCTTATAAACTATCCACTGAACTCCAACACCATTTTCTGCACATTATCCACTAAATACCAAGACGATCATCTGTCCATAGGCATGCGTCAAGAATTCATGATATGCCGTTCAAGAAAAGGCAGGCAATTCAATCAAGTTAAATAACTTATCCACAATGCTATTATATAATATTTTCCCAAAAAAAATTTTTTTTTGAATTGATTCACAAGTTACTGAGATTTGCAATGACCTGGACCAATGCCAAGTTGATGAGTTGAAGAAAGATCTGACGTGACAAAGCCATATAATGGAGCGATCTACGGAACAGCATCAAGATGCCCTCGCCTGGTTAATTCCAGAATATTACGCACTGCCTGCATCTGCATGATTTTTCTTTTTTTTGGTACTTAGAAATTCGCAACGGATCTTCTGTACCATACCCTGTCTCACATCCTGTCCCACTCCTTAAAATCTCGCCAAGTGTCTATAAGTTGCTCTGCATGGAATAAATTGTTACATATGGCCGAAGAAAGTTTTGAAGGATTGTTTCTATTGTATTTGTATGCTCTGTCTCTTTGTTCTGGAGATGTGCAACACCTTCAGCATCAAAATTTTTGCAGCAGTTGATTGGAGTTCTATTAACTGGTCTATTGGATTCTATCTGGAACTACTTCTGACTAAGGCTCTAACTAGTCCGCTAATATAATTCTTTGACAGGAATATGATGTTGAAGATTCTCTTTTGCCCCTTCAGCCAGCACTGGACTACACTGCTCCTGAACTTGTTCGAAGTAAAGCATCTACAGTTGGATCTGCCTCTGATATCTTCAGTTTTGCTTGTCTTGCCTACCACTTGGTTGCTCGAAAACCGTTGTTTAATTGTCACAACAATGTCAAAATGGTATTTATCTAATATTTCCTGGCGCAATGATTTGCACAATTTATGGGTGGAGTAGGAGATTTGAGATTGTAACAATGAATTGCTGTATGGTTATAAGATGACAACATTACGACTAAAATAGATACTCTGCTAAAATCAATAATAGTCTGGTTAATTGGTCTCTTGAATGAGAAGTACAGTTGTTTTCCTGTTCTGTTGGATTATTCATTGCTGCCTCAAAATAGTGTGTATCTTTATTATAGATGTGTTCATATGTTTAATTTACATGGTAATAGCATATGTAACTTTTTATACTAATGTCCCTATGCAACTCGAGTGCAGTACATGAATACTTTGACATACTTATCCAGTGAGGCTTTCTCGTCAATACCGCGGGACTTGGTTTCGGACTTGCAAAGGATGCTTTCTTCTAACGAGGCTTTGAGGCCAACAGCAATGGACTTTACAGGTAAGGATGTGATACTATCTTCGCACACATATGCTTTGGTGATACTGTATGAGATGAACATCTGGGAAGTAGCATTTTGGGAGAATTCCTGTCCTAGTTTTCTTTGAAGCTTTTTTGTTTTTGTTTTGGATGGTTGGGCTAGGGGGAAGATGGCAGATACTCCTCTATAGTATTTTAACAAGAAAGAGAAACACAATCTCTAAATAATTGTAGGATGTGAAAAATAGATGGAGAGCATCTGGAATGTGGTAGTAAAATGGTCTTTTTGTCTTTGTGGTTGTAAGTTAATGAGGCTTTGGACTAGCAATTTAACTATTGTTTAGAGGAGGCTTTGTGGTTTGTGAGCGTGCGTAATGTTGAATTGCTTTACTTCTGTTCTTATTGTGTTTAGGATTTTTATTTAGGCGTATCTTGTTATTCTATATAACCAAATGTACATTCCTTCTTTGCAGGGTCACCTTTTTTTCGTGATGACACTAGGTTGCGTGCACTTCGTTTCCTGGATCACATGCTTGTATGCTTTTTTATATTAGTTTGACAGCCAGAGGCTTAGCAAGGACAATTATTTTTTGTAGTAGAATGTTATGGAACCTTGAGTATTCCTGCTCAAACTCTGCTTGATTGCAGGAAAGGGATAACATGCAGAAGACTGAGTTTCTAAAAGCATTATCAGACATGTGGAAAGATTTTGATCCGCGTGTCTTGCGGTATAAGGTTTGTTTTTCTGCTTCCTTTTGTGTAATATGACTTTATAACGTTGTCTGACATACTTCTTTGTGCTGTATGTGCTTTTATATTTTTTACAGAACCAAAGAACTAGATGATTGCAGGAATAATTGATTTCATGATGTCTGAAGTCCCTTTTAGATGATTCTACAGTGATTTTGGATATTTAACCAAGTTGACTCCTGGTTACCTTGTTTCACTGTGTATTTAGACTCCAAAACATCGCATGAAACCGTTCTCTTGCCTTAACATCTCTGATAGTGCCCCCACAGATAAAGAGGAGAAACGGAAAAAGAGAAAAGAGTTAGTAAATAGGGTATTGTTAAGCAGCAAGTCATACCGATGTTGGACATGGATGAGACATTTTAATTCCTTTTGCTGTGGAAAGAGTTTTAATGAGATGGCTCTTATCTTGATGATCTTTGCAGGTACTTCCACCACTTTGTTCTGAGCTTCGGAATCTGGTCATGCAGCCAATGATACTTCCCATGGTTCTTACAATAGCAGAGTCTCAGGTACCATTGATGCTAATGCCTGCAAATCTTGATCCATATGCCCATGTTCAATGACAAAATAAGGAGCCTTCATTTTTGAGCCTGAACTTGAACATGGCCAAACAGTTGACTTTTGCCTGTGTGTTTAATGTGTTCCCCATGTTGCCAGCTATGTTAAATCTTCTGCTGTTCGCTGTGAAAGATGTTAAGCTACATTTTATTCTTATTTCTTTTTATATTTCAAGTAAAATATTGATAGAGATTCATATGGTTTATCACATTGATAAGATAAGCTTCTCAGTGCCATGCTGTCAACAAGTTTAGATCTGGAAGGTTTTGAGATTTATGAAAAAGTTGGACTTCATTAAACAGAATGGCAGGGTAGTCTAGGATTAGTTGTTGAAAGAAAGTCATAGTATTCAAGGAAAAAAGTTAAAAGTCTCTTTGCAGTCCTTTAGTCATGCATGATTCGACCAAATTGGTTTCCAGAAAGATTAATTCAGGGAATACTCTAGCATGTGCAATGTAAAGAATTTCACTTGCACTCTTCACAAAGTCTATAGCATTTCCTGCAATGGTTCGCATAAGCTCTCACAGGCGAGTTTGAAATGAGTGTTTCTTTTGGTTTAATATGTCATATAGATTAAAGAGGTGATAAAATTGAGGACCTTCCAAGAATGCTGTGTCTGGATATCATGTTCAGGTTTTTCTGCCAATGAAGCAAAACATCTTAACAAAATCGATTATTTGAAGACATATGTTAACTCAGTCTACTCCAGACCAATGGGCTCTGGTTGATGTGATTTCTCCTACTACTATTTTTTATCAAGATATGTTGTGCAGTACCATTTTGAAACGCTTATAATTTACGAAAATTAACAATGATATTGTGGCATTATGAAACTTTTTTGTTTTATTATTCGTTTGCTTACTGCACAACCCTTGCCTCAGGCTCTGATTGCTGGGTCATAGAGAAATGATTATCTTGCTTGTTCGTGTGGACCATATTATGATATTGTCTGATAAATGTGAAGTTTGGTAGGAGATAATTATGAAACTTGTATATCACATAATTCGTAGATTTATGTGTATAAGAATTTTGCAGGACAAAAATGATTTTGAGCTGTCTACTCTTCCAGCTCTTGTTCCTGTCCTAAATAGTGCTGCAGGTGAGACATTGTTGCTACTTGTGAAGCATGCCGAGCTTATTATCAATAAGGTAACAGAGATAGCTTTGAAGAACTTCTGCTAATGCAAGAAATTGCTTTTGGATGTCCTGTTTTTCTTTTGGTCAATGCCTTTACATTTTCTCTTTGTTAATTTCTTATCATAGAATTTTTTCCTTTTAGGTTCATATCAACTTAATGATTAGGAGATAAATCTGATTTGTTTAGTAAAATGTCTTTAATTCGTATGCAGAAATTGGTAATTAACTAATTGTTCTTGGGAATCTATATTAGTTGTAAGAGTGGTTCACTTTATGGTAGCTCTTTGTGATTTTTATGTATTACTCAATTAAAGGAGACTGCCATATGTGTTTGTTTATTTAGAACTTGATAAGCCCTTGCCTGTGAAAAATTTTAGTTTGTCTGAACTAGTTCTGTTATGCCATTTAATGTACAAATGGCTATTATCTGTTTTGAAGTGTTAGTTTTGAGGTTCAGAAAAAGTGACAATTTAAGCTCAGTGCAGCAGGCTTCACCCGAAAAGATAATCAAGCTGTGGGAGTTGGTCATTTTTTGTGTACTTGTAGATTTACATGCAAGGAAAAAAAAAATCAACCTGTGGGAAAAGGGGAAAAGATCAAGCTGTGGGAGTCGGTCATTTTATGTGTACTCGTAGGTTTACATACAGAAAACTTGAAGTTCAGTTCCTATTCCCGTCACTCCTGACACCACTCAATTAAAGTTGTCTTTGCTGGGATTGTTTTATGTCATGGTGTTGATAATTTTCCTAGAAGCATTGATTGATTACTTGGTAGTTGGTATGGAATTAGGGGTATTGATGCAATTGCTGTAAGTTTTCTTAGTGAGTATTAAGGTGCTGCTTTAACTTGCCTAATTGGACTTGTTTAAGTGGATGGATTAGTCTGGTGAATTATCTTCATTTCTCCCAATCCTTTTGGGGAGTGTCTGAATAATATTTAGTCCAGTGATGAAATGGGCGTTGATTATTGGATGTGGAGTTATTCTCAAAGCATTGAACCCTTGTAGTTTTACATGCAAAAGCTATTTTGGTCTTTCATTTTTGCTTATAATTCTGTTTTATCCGTCTATGATGTAATGAAAATTTCCAAGAAACTCCTCCCAGTAGCTGCATTGTGATTGTAGTGCTTTCTGGTCGTTGGTTTATATATACTTTTAGGTGTCCACTAATAAAGTTTGACTTGGCTATGGTGTCCTAGACTATGACTGGGAACATGTAATAATAAATTCTAGCTGAGCTGGCTTTGGAAGGGATTTGAAATGTAGCTCTCCAGTACATTAGAATTCATAAATGGTAATTTTCCAAATGGTTTCATGGGAAAGCCTTATCCTGCCTTTCAAGAGTGAATCCAATTTTGGGACTATTACTAGTAATGTCTAGACTGGAAAATTTGAAACGAAAGTATTTTGGTGAGAGGATTTTATTCTCGAAAGTAGTTGTTTCTGTTCCATCCTCATTTTTAAATGAGAAGAAGATACTGTGAGAAATTTAGTTGAACTAATTACAATTAAAATGCTTTCCACTTGCAGTTTTGGTTTATTGTTGGTTTAGATAACCATTGTGTTTTAAACTCTCTGTTTTTTTCTTTGCCTTGTTATTAAGCTGCTAAGTAGTTAAAAGATGGGTTATGACCATGGCTTATACTCATTTAACTAGCAATTTTTACATGTTTTATCAGGCTAGTCATGAGCACTTGATTTCCCATGTTCTACCGATGCTTGTTCGAGCTTATGATGACACTGATGCTCGTATGCAAGAGGAAGTTCTGAAAAAGACTGTATCGCTTGTTAAGCAGCTTGATGTTCAGGTAATTGGCAAGTGCATAGCCATTCTTATTATTTAGTGTGTGTTAGCTTAGTGCTTCTCAAGACCCTTTTTTCTTGTCAATTTGGATATTCATGTGTATCTTTTGCAGTAGCAAACTTGTATTGTGTTGTTATCATATAATTTACAGTTTAGGGATGGCAGACTAGTTTTAGCCTGATGTCTTGGTCCTCTAATAATTTCTTAATGAATCATAGCCTTTAAATGGCAAGATTTCTGGAGTGTTTTCGTTTCTATTCTTGCACTGATGATTAGTAAGTGGTGAGCTCTGAGAATATTAGGCTTAATGATAAGTTTTCTCGATTGTTCAGGAGGATATAATTGGTTTGGTGTGAAGATATAAATGTCTCACTTGCTACAGGATAGTGTACTCATACGTCTTCTTGATGTCCATCTTTTCTGGATATTTGCTTCTTAGTGATAATGTGATTCAGCCCTGGATATTCTTGTCCTTTAATGGTCTTCCAATGATTCTTCATAGTTCTCCTCAAGCACATCTCTACAGCACCTGAAAACCGACCATAATGGTTTGGTGGTTGTAGCATATTGCAACTATCATTGTCTGTTATTTTTGATTTTAGAATAGCATTAGCTAACCTATCTGCGTTGGTCTATTGTGGTTTTTCTTTTGCTGCAGTTGGTGAAGCAAGCAATCTTGCCCCGAGTTCATGGTTTAGCATTAAAGACAACTGTTGCTGCAGTATGTGGGCTTCTACTCTTGATGTTAATGGTTAAATTTGGGTTTTAGCCTGCTGAAGTTGCATTAGCTTTTACTGTTAATGATATTTGAACATATTGAATTTGCGCCTAGAGAGAAAGGATTGTCATTAAAATCCTTTCATCGCTGTTTCCATTTTGTTCTTTAAGTTGAGTAAACCTGTTGAGAGATGACTGCTTAAGGCAATTTTTGAAATCAGATGCTTTGACAAAAAAGGTATTCTTGAGGAGTGAAGACTATCTTGTGGTCTATTGCAGCATGAAATTGACAGAAGGAAAAAGATGGCTGCGTTTGGATTGAGTGTTTTTGCACCTGTTTTTGAAAAATTGTTTTTCACATTCCAAATGCTACAGTAAATGTGTATTTCAAAAATAACTTCAAAAACATCATATCCAAACAATATATCACATGTGTATTTTGTACATTATTTTTCACATCACATGTGAGATTCATAAAATTTTATTCTATAATTACATGTTATTAAAAATAGATTACACTATATACATACAAAATTATATTTTATATATTTTTTACATAAAATCGACCGAACAATTTTCCCGACAGTCATTCAGGCCGTGTCCATTTAATGTTTTGAATGAAGAGAGATGATTTATTTTTTTATTACATTATTTTTTTAACTAAAATTTGGCCATAAACCTTTAGGAACAGTTGCTTCTCTAGAGCAAACCGATCCTGCCCCTCCTCCAAAGGAAATTATGGTACCGAAACACCCATAAGAGGAAGTATAATGATTTTTAGTATTAGAATTTTTTTAACGAGTGTTCAGCAAACATTTGATTGGTAACAAGATTTACACCTGATATATTTTGTTAACACAAACTCGAAATTAATTGTTTGTCTTCCCATTTATGTGGATTTAGGCTTCTACAATTATCAGTGACAATTGCAATTTCTAATGTGTACAGTAACGTAATAAATATGGATATTAAAAAGAAAACGGTAAATATTAAGACAACAACATACAAAAATATGACTTTTAAAGAAACAATAGTTTGATGTTTTCTTGTTGATTTCTTAGCATTTTACATTTGTTCTTTTGTCTATACATTTACATCTACATCTACATCTACTCGAACTTGCATTTATGCATTTGACCAATTTCACTACAAATGTTGAAAGAATAATAATGTCAAACACCTTTTTAACGCATTTTCATTGGACACTCGTAAAATAAATTTACTATTTAATTGATTTATAACGTTATGAAAATGGCTACATACATGAATGCATGTTTAACATGACATGGTCATACATGCAAATGCACCAATGAATATAACGTACGCTTCATCAACATATCTAGTCTATGCGGGAATGGGGAGCTTTTCAATCGACTTCTGATTGCTGATGTGGCGAGCTTCCATTGGCCGATTGGTGGTCGTCTGCCTCGTGTGAATTCGCTCGCGTGAATTGGTCCGTCCAGCCGATTGTTTCTTTCTTTTCTTTGTTTGCTTGGATCAGTTGGATGTCTACATTGGAGCACGTCTTTTGGTTTTTTTTCCCTTTTCTTTTTTTAAAATTGGATGGAAGTGCTTGTTAATAACCTTTTTTTGGATGCTACAGCCCCTCTCATTCCCTTGCTGGTCAACATATCTAGTCTATGCGGGAATGGGGAGCTTTTCAATCGACTTCTGATTGCTGATGTGGCGAGCTTCCATTGGCCGATTGGTGGTCGTCTGCCTCGTGTGAATTCGCTCGCGTGAATTGGTCCGTCCAGCCGATTGTTTCTTTCTTTTCTTTGTTTGCTTGGATCAGTTGGATGTCTACATTGGAGCACGTCTTTTGGTTTTTTTTCCCTTTTCTTTTTTTAAAATTGGATGGAAGTGCTTGTTAATAACCTTTTTTTGGATGCTACAGCCCCTCTCATTCCCTTGCTGGTTTAGAATTATCCCGGCAGAATTATCCAATAATTCCTTCCCTTATAGTCTATGCGGGAATGGGGAGCTTTTCAATCGACTTCTGATTGCTGATGTGGCGAGCTTCCATTGGCCGATTGGTGGTCGTCTGCCTCGTGTGAATTCGCTCGCGTGAATTGGTCCGTCCAGCCGATTGTTTCTTTCTTTTCTTTGTTTGCTTGGATCAGTTGGATGTCTACATTGGAGCACGTCTTTTGGTTTTTTTTCCCTTTTCTTTTTTTAAAATTGGATGGAAGTGCTTGTTAATAACCTTTTTTTGGATGCTACAGCCCCTCTCATTCCCTTGCTGGTTTAGAATTATCCCGGCAGAATTATCCAATAATTCCCTTATTGAATTGGAATTATCCGTCTTTTCAACATATCTAATTAGCGTTTTCCCCAATTGTTATTAGCTAAAGAATGCCTTTTGTGGTTCCTCAAAAAAACGCATATAATTATCAAATTCTTTTCAATTATGGCTTTTCGTTAGCTGATTAATAAACTCGTTTGTATTTATCTCTTTGTATTTGGATTCCCTTTTTTAAACCAATATAAATCACGTTTAATTACCCAATATTTATTCTTAATTGTTAGTGCCTTATTAATGATGCCATTTTTTCCCTTTCTCAACAATAGATTGTGTTGCCAAAAAACTTGATATCCCGGTTCTTTACAATTATTACTACTTTCCCTTTGTTTCCAGATAAATTGCAATTATTAATAATTACTTTTTTTTTCAATAATTGCTTATATATTATCTTTTTAAACATTGCTTTTGTTATCTTGCGATTGTGAAAATTTTACGCTTCAATTGATTTTTCCTCGTCGCGCCACACACCATGCTTAATTATTGATTCCTGGCTATTAATTGTTATAATTATTTACTTACCTATTTTTATTTGTGCTCTTTTTTTTGTTAGCAAACAGATCATATTTGATTACCAACTTTTTAGAATACACTGTTAATAACTGATAAATAATACCATTTTTTTTGTTACCGCCATTTTTTGTTACCCAACAGCTGCCATTTAATTCATAACTTTTTTGCAATTATTAGCAACATTTCTTTTCTTGTCAGAAATATCACATCTAATTTCCTTTTTTCCAAATTTCATTGAGAAAATGTCCTCTTTTGTTTTGGGTTGCCCAACAAATGGAGTTTAATTATCAGTTTTTTTCAATTACTCTTTTATTAATTCGGTTCTGATTTGGCTGTTTTATTGCTACAAAAAACACATTTAATTGCTGGCCTTTTTAATTATTGATACTTTTTGTTACCCAAAAAAACGCATTTAATTACCAATTCTATGTAGTTATTAGCCAAGAAATATGCTTGTCTTATTCTTTTCTTTCGTTACTTTTCCTGTCGTAACCAAACTCCTTATTGCTAATCTGATTGACTCATTTTTACAAGCAAGCCTGCATCTTGTTTGTTTATTTCCAGAGCAAGCTTTCTCGAGTTCCTCATCAGGCACTACTTGTCACCAGCCTGTTTCTGCCGACAAATGACTGTACTTGACCTAATTAATTGCTACCTTAATTTTCTATATTACCCATCCCTTGTGCCTATATTTACGATTCCACTCCATGGACCTTGTCGCCTTTTGCCCTTCACTTGAGGTTATGTTTGTAAATCTATCGAAAACCGTCATTTTTCGCCATTGTCTGCCATCAGCTTCCTTTTGCTGCGGTTGATTGACACTGTTTGGTGCTTTGCATTTGCACAATGGTTACATAGTTTCTCTGGTTTTCCGCGGCGGATTTTCTACTGAGCATCATCATGAACAATGGTAATTGTGCACCCACTGCATTCTTTTCTCTATTCTAAAACTCTTGTTTCTTTGTTAGACAGAGGGAACTACCTCATACCGATTGTTCTTCATTTTCTTTGGTTATTTTGAAACTTCATTTTCCCTAATTTATCAGTCTGGTTTTTATTTGCACTGGTGCTATCGTTTTTGCTTCCTGGTGAGCATGTTGGTTTTATAGTTCGGCTTAATTTGTTGTTCTTTAACTGTTTATATATTTCAAAGATTTCTATCAGGCTGCTTTGCTTTTTATTTCTTCCTTGCTTCTCGGCTTTCTAATGCACTGGTTCAACTATTTTTCCCCTTTTTTTTTCTGCCCCTTCTAAATTATTATCACCAAATTAGCTTCTATTTTTCTCTCCCATTTTTTTCACCTTTTCTTATTACGTCTTACATGATTGCCATTTTTTTGATAGTTTCTGCTGTTATTCACTTCTGCGGTGTTGACCTTCTTCGTGTTCACAGGTTAGTTCTTCTGATTTTGTTCTCGTTTTGGTCTTTTCTCTATATTTTATCCTTAATTTGTGCATCTTTGGGATACATTTTCTGATGCATCAGCGCTTATGGCCTGCTCCAGCTTTTCCTTTATTTGGTTTGGGACTTTTTGACTTCCTGTACCTTTTGTGATCCTTTTTCTTGCATATACGAGTTATTGTATTGTTTCTACTGCTATATTTACATGCCTGATTATTTTTTATGTGAGAATTTGTTCTTTGCTCGGCTGCCGCTATTAACTCCTTCATCTCTTTGTGTTCGCTTGTTTTTTGCCTGCTCTGCTTTCTACCAGTTTTCAATTTACACTCTTTTTTGCTAAGTTAGGCATTCCTTTCTTTATATAGTCCTTCCACATTTTTTGCTCTTACTAAAAAACGATGGATGGAAATGCTACTCGCCGCAAAAAATACGCAGAAATGCCATCTTCGCAAAAAATGCACCTTCTACAACGCCGGAAAGAAAATAGAGCTGCCAAGAAAAAAAATGCGCATTTACTCCCACGTATTCGTAAGGTTCCACTGGGTTATATGGAAACGGGTGTTTCTTTCCTTGATTCCCATCATGAAAAACTTGATGGTGCGGATCACTCTTCTATGCATAGTGAAATCTTAGGAGCCGAGGCCTTGAAGAGCGGTAATGACAATGCTGCTGTCATTACTGAGGCATTACAATATATGTCCTCTCATGAATCCGCTCCTTTTATTCCTCGCGTCCATTCTGCTCCCTCTTCTCAGACTGCAAACGACATGCCAAATGCAAGTGTTCTTACAGGTATACTAGGAGATGTCCTTCTTTTGCTGCTTCCTTCCTGTCCAGTTCTTAGTGTTTAGATAGTCTTTGCTTCCCTACCTGCTGGTTGCTGATTCAACATTTCGATTCTTTGCAAATGTATATATCTTCATTTGCAATCTGCAGAGTTTCCACTTACTGTTAAGGCTGATCTTAGGAGCTGCAAAGGAAAATTCCTTCCAGAAAAAAGAAAAAATTTTAACCTTCCTTCTTCCACTATTGAGCCTAATTTCTGTCTACCTAGGAGAAAAATTAGGAACTCTGTACCTGTAGCATTGCGTGATGGACTAGGCGATTGCTTTAATCGTTCTGATAGCGTCATCCAAGCTCTCAACTTTGACAAAGAGGATTTGCTTATGAACAATCTTTTTGAAAATCCAGTTGAGTATTGTTCTTCGGTCCATGTTTCTGTGAACTCTGAAGAGCTTTATCCTCTCACAACTACAAGTGAGGCAGCTCAATTCCTCCAACAAAAAGATGCATCCTTTAGGAAGCAGGATTCTATTATTAGACCTGCTTGCTCTGTTCCTGTGCTGCTAGTTGATAGGCACAACAGCTCTTCTAGAGTTTCTGAGAGCATCCTGCAACCTTCTTGTAGAGGCAAAGATCATCTACTTGTTCCTCAACTTTTTGAAAATGTTGTTGCATACTCTTCTTTGCCCAAGGTTCATATGAAATCTGGTCAACTGCAATCTCTCTTCGATAGTAACCACCAGGCATTCCATTTTGGAAAAAATATGCCACCCTCTGAAAACCACACTTGTGAAACAGCTTCTGCTTCTCAAGGTACATTTCTTAAACATCGGCTATTCTCAACACAACCCTGCTAAGTATTCTTTAATTCCGACTGCACATTGATTGTGTTCACTGCCATGCCATTGGCCCCTTTTAGTTAGCTTATTTCTTAATACGGTTACAGAAACCTCCTCTATTCCGGAGAGACAATCTACCCATTCTATTCGAAGAAATGCTCCTGTGAGGAAAGCAACAACAATTTCCCACTGTTCTGGTTTCTCATATAGAGTTCAACCTTCGACCCGAAACCGCTGTTCTCGTCGTCGTGTGAAGAAGCAAACTCCGGGTTGGCATTTTATTCTTCAATAGCTATTTCGGGTATTTTAGATGCCATTGCTGATTAGCCTACTAGAGGCACAGCTTGGTTTGCTTCTCAGCTATAGTTTCGAAATAAATGCAGCTACACCTAAAAGAGGGAGGCAGCGGCAAATTTTTTCGATCGATGAAATCCCCCACGAAGCTTTAGCTCTTCCAGATGCTCCTGATTGTGAGCTCTGTGGAGCCAAGAGGTTCCATTTGGAACCTCCTAACTTTTGTTGCTCTGGAGGGGATATTTCTATCGTGGCTCCATCGATGCCTTATGATCTTAAGCGTCTATTTATCGAAAATGATGAGGAAAGTGCTCATTTCAGAAACAATGTTCGGTCCTATAATAACAACTTGGGATTCACATCCTTTGCTGTAAAATATGATCATGAACTGACCAAGAACACGAAAGGTGTTTATACTTTCCGTGTTCAAGGCCAGGTCTACCATTTCCTTAATAGTTTGGTACAGTCATATGAAAAACCTTCTGGAATTCAGTTTTACTTTTTTGATTCTGATGAAGAGTTAGCAAAGAGAATTGGAAGTTCTGATAAGTTGCGTGAAAGCACTTTAAGATTGCTTATGCGTATCCTTTCGAACAACCCTTATGCTAAATTCTTTAAGAATCTCAGAAATGTTCCGAACATTGACACCTATAAAATTGTTTTGAATTGTTATCCCGGTTTGGACCAGCGAGTCTATAATCTGCCTACAGCTTCTCAAGTTGCTGCCATATGGACTGAGGATGAGGATGAATCGGCAGATAGAAATATTCATATTCAAGTCTATACCCACTCTAATACCAGCCATAGAATTAAGCATTACTATGGCTGCTATGATCCTTTGCAGTACCCTATTCTCTTTCCTCAAGGTGAATGTGGATGGCACCATGGTGTTAAAAAACTTCGCAAGAGGAAGAGAAAGGCAGATTCTTGTGAGGATGATTTAAATGTTGATCCTTCCTCTGTTAACAGCCCTTCACATTTACTCAATTTGGAACGCAGAGGCAAGTATATTTCTTGCTATTTGAGGCTGTTAGGGTGAGCATCATAATCTTTTCATCATTAGTTTGATATTTTTTACTTTTCCTTTATAGCCGTTGAACATGGAAAGAACGAAGAGGACACTGTATCAGCTAGAGAATATTATTGTTATAGGTTTCAAATGAGAGACAGCGATGAGTCGATGTTGCTGCACTGTCTTAGACTTCTACAACAATTTTCAGTTGATTCCTATGTGAAGATAGAAACTTCTAGGCTGGACTTTCATAGACATCGACAAAATGTTGTCAGATCAGAAATTCTTCAAGGGGTATTGGATAGTGTCTCTCTAGGCCAAACTGAAGGTTCTAAAGTTGGTCGTAGGATAGTGCTGCCTGCTTCCTTTATAGGTGGTCCCAGAGACATGAGGCGCCGCTATCTTGATGCAATGTCACTTGTACAAAAATATGGAAAACCAGACATTTTTCTTACCATGACTTGCAATCCGGCATGGAAAGAAATCCAATGCAATCTGAAGTATCATGAGAAGCCGCAGGATAGGCCTGATCTTTTAGCTAGAGTGTTTAGAGCTAAATTTGAAATGCTTAAACACGAACTCTTGAATAAGCAGATTTTTGGTGAGGTGGCAGCATGCGTCTATGTTATCGAATTTCAAAAACGAGGATTTTCACATGCTCATTTGTTACTCATTTTAAAGCCTCAGTTTAAGCTGCTCAATCCAGATTCATACGACAAGGTGGTTTGTGCTGAATTACCTGATCGCCTTCAGTATCCTCACCTCTACTCTCTTGTTGTAAAGCATATGATCCATGGTCCTTGTGGAGACATGGATAAAAGTTGCCCATGTATGAAAGACGGTTCCTGCAGAAATCACTATCCAAAAAATTTTTGCCCTCATACAACTCACGGTGAAGATAGTTACCCATATTATAGAAGAAGGGATGATGGCAAGAAGGTGAAAGTTCGCAGATTCACCCTTGATAATAGGTGGGTTGTGCCTTACAACCCCTATCTTCTTGCTTTGTTCGATTGCCACATGAATGTGGAGATTTGTTCTACCATTAAACTGGTCAAGTACCTGTATAAGTATGTGTTCAAGGGACATGATCAAGTCTCTTTTAGGATTATGACGGATGATAGTGCTGCTGATACTGACGAGATTAAAGAGTTCCAAAAAGGTAGATACATTTCACCTCCGGAAGCGTTTTGGCGCATCTATGAGTTCCGTTTAAATGAGATGACCCCATCTGTTTATACTCTCCAAGTTCACCTTCCAAATCAGCAGCTTGTTTCTTTTCCGAAAAACTCAGATTTGTTGCAGTTGTTAGCAAAAGTTGATTTTTCTAAGACCATGCTAACTGAGTTTTTCAAGATGAATGCAACCAATTCAACCACTGAAAACCTGAAATGCTTTTATAAAGATTTCCCTCAGCATTTCGTTTGGTCTTCCAAGTATAGACAGTGGACGGAAAGGAAGCGTCGAAAGGTGATAGGTAGACTTGTCAGTGTTAATCCAAGAGAAGGAGAGAGGTACTATCTAAGGCTTCTCTTAAATCATATTCCTGGACCGATATCATTTGATGCTCTCTTGACTGTTAATGATAAAAAAATGAACTCGTTTAGAGAGGCTGCTCTAGCGCTTGGGTTGTTGCAATCTGATACATATATAGAAGAAACACTTGAGGAAGCCGCTGCATTTCAGATGCCATCTTCGCTCAGATTATTGTTTGCTACTCTCCTGGTCTATTGTTCTCCAACTGATCCCGCGATGCTGTGGAAAAAATTTGAATTGGACTTTTCTAGAGATTACCAGCGGCACAACCAATCTCATGACGACTCTCCTGCTGAGATTAGGGGGTTAGTTCTTGCTGATATTAACAAATCTCTTCGCCAGATGGGTACAAGCATTGCTGCATATCAGTTACCATTAGATGACCTTGTTAGTGTGGATCAAGTTCACCTAACAAAAGAGATTGAAGCTGAAAGAAACATAGATATACCACCAGAAGATCTGCTAATGTCTTTAAAATTAAATTCACAGCAAAAGTATGCTTATAACATGATTCTAGAAGCATGCTTTGCTTTCCAAGGACATTCTTTTTTTATAGATGGTCCTGGAGGTACCGGTAAAACATTTTTATACCGGTCACTGCTTGCTACTCTGAGATCGCAAGGTTATATAGCAATTGCAGTAGCAACCTCTGGAATTGCAGCGTCTATCCTACCTGGAGGAAGAACTGCACACTCAAGGTTTAAGATACCTCTCGATTTCTCAAAGAACAGAGCCTGTCAGCTTAGCAAGCAAGGCAGTGTTGCAAAGCTGCTGTCGGAGTCTAAACTGATCTTATGGGATGAAGCTTCCATGGCAAAACGAGAAACCATTGAGGCATTTGATGATTTGCTTAGAGACATAATGGAATCTGAACTGCCTTTTGGAGGTAAAGTTATTGTATTCGGTGGCGATTTTCGGCAGACGCTACCTGTTATTGAACAAGCAACAAAGGAAGGCCTTTTGCAATCTTGCTTTCTCAATTCTCCATTGTGGTATAAGCTTCATAAACTGAAGTTAACAGAAAACATGCGAGCTATATTAGATCCTCAATTTTCTGAATTCCTGTTAAGAGTTGGCGAAGGGCGCGAACCTGTCGACTTGAACAGCGAAATAACTTTGTCCAGAGACTTAGTCATTCCTTATTATGATAAAGAAGAATCCTTGAACAGGTTAATGACTTATTATTGGCCTGTTTTACCCATCTACTCTTTAATATATACACGTTCTAATTTATTTTCTTTATTAACAGGTTGCTACGCTCCGTATTTCCAGATTTAACTCTCTATTCCCAGGATCCATATAGCATGATTAATAGATGTATTCTTACCCCTAAAAATAACTCGGTTGATGAGTTAAATGATATAATGATTAGGAGGTTTCCTGGAGAGCTTCATGCTTACATTAGTTCTGACAAAGCTGTTGATCAGCGACACCAGGGTGATTACGAGGATTTCCTTAATTCTCAGAATCCAAAAGGCCTTCCTCCTCACAGGTTAATGTTAAAAGAAAACTGCCCGATTATACTAATAAGGAATCTAAATCCTGTTGAAGGCCTGTGCAATGGCACAAGGCTTATATGTAGAGAGCTTGGGCGACATACTATCTCTGCTGAAATTGTCTTCGGCCAGCATAGAGGAAAGCGAGTTCTCATTCCAAAGATACCCTTACAAACTTCTGACAACCAAAAGAATTCCATTGCATTCATAAGAACTCAGTTTCCTGTCCGACTTTGTTTTGCATTGACCATTAATAAATCTCAAGGACAAACTCTTGATTATGTTGGGATTTACTTGCGGGAACCTGTCTTTTCTCATGGACAGCTATATGTAGCCTTGTCCAGAGCTAGAGCTTCAAGTGAGCTGAAAATACTTATTGTACCAGGAACTTTTGATGGTGTGAAAACAGACTGCAAAACTAGAAATGTTGTGTTCAATGAAATTTTTGAATTGAGCCAGCAGTAGAATGTTCTTAAATTCAGGTATACTTGTACCCGTTTATAGCTGTGTTTACTTACTGTTAGGGTCTTATCTATACCCAAATCTATACATTATGATCATTTTCCCGTTTTTTAACAGGAATGTCTAGCCTCTTGCTGATTGGGGACATCATGCCTGATATGAAAAACTGGTCTTGTATCATCACAGTCCAGGAGAAACAACAGGTGACAGATTCTATGGGAACACCAACCAAGAAGCAAAAGTTTGTCTTTTATGATTCAGAGGTTGCATTCTAGAACCTGAAACGACTATCAGTTATTTCTTCTTTTATATATTTGTTAATCGTGTTTGGTATATATATATTTTTTCCTGATAGAGCTCTAAAGTCGAAGGGATAATCTTCAATGCTGATATTGCGAGAATGAGTCCTATGCTGCAAGTTTATAAAAAATATAAGATTTCAAATGCTGATGTCAGGAATATTCCGCCAAAGTTTCAGACTCTTGGATTAACCAAACAGTGGGTGATCACTTCAAAAACTGTCATTGAAGAAGTCAATGGCAGTGAAGACATTATGCCTGTTAAATTTAGTTTTACTCAATTTGCTGATTTAGCTGAATACATGGACGATAGAAGCAAGTCCGTCGGTGAGTATGCAGGCAGTCTATCATTCATGTTTTTATTACAAACTGAAAATATTCTCAGCCTGCTTTCTTTCCCTTTGCAGATGTGCTTGGAGTAGTGATCAGTTCATTGGCTAAGAAAACGATCACTAAAAACTCCAAACAGTCAAATGTTCAAAAATTTGTCCTCCTTAATGAAGAGTGCGAAATGTCTTTTTATCATGCTATGAACCTTTTTACTGTCTCTGTCTCGTTTTTCCTATAGCTCTGAATCATTTTCATCCTGGATTTTATGTCAATGTTAGGTCCCAAACTGTCCTGCTTTCTCTATGGGATGATTTTCTGAACAATGAAGGTCAAGTTTTGTTGAATAACATGCAAAGCTATCCCGTTATCATTGGTCGAAGGCTGAAAGTTACCAACTACAATGGTTTGTTGAACTGCTGCTTTTCTGTATTATGACCTTTATTTGTATGTCAAGCTTCTTAATCATGATTTAATATTAATTCTATTGTTTATTGTTTAGGTGTTGCTCTCTCTACTTGGTTCGATTCTGCACTCCTTGTTGATCCACCAATACAGGAAGCAAGGCAGCTCAAGAATTGGTGCAATGACTTCAGCTAACATGTTTTCATGCAGCATTATATGAGTTGTAACATTTTTTCCCAGTATTTTCCTTACATGTCCTTTTTTTTTGTAGGGCAATGAGAAATGCTAAGTTGATTGCTGAAATCATTGATGCAAAGAGTTATATTAAGTACAATCCTGCGCTTTGTTTCAAACCAGATCAGAAAACTACTCTGATTTGCAATGTTATCCCATCACAGAAGGTGATTAAATAATAAATTTTTATGTAATTTTATGGTTTTATATCTATCTAGCATTTCGTCTGATACTTGTCTATCTTTTAGACTGCCTGGGTGAAGGCAAAGCTCTCTTTTGACCATATCTTCCAAAAATATTGGTATATGAGCTGTGCAAAGTGTTGCCGAGCTACTGCAGCAGACTACGGAATTGAGTTTACTTGTAACTCGTGTAAAGAGAAGGGCCCTGCTATGCCTAGGTCCTATATTACTACGTCATTAACTTTAATTTAGATGCAAAGAGTTCCTGTTATTGTTAATGTTATACAGTTTATAGCCTAAGCACTTTATACTTATGTTTTAGGTGCCGCTTTGACGTTGATTTGAGCGACGACAGTGGAGTTATACCTGCTTCTATCTTTGGAGATCTAGCAGAAAATATTCTCACCTTTACTGCCCTTGAAGCAATGGATCATTTTAATCAGGTCACTTTAACTGCTAAAATTTAATATCCAGTGCGCTATTTGCTTGTCACCCTTATATCTTCTGTACTTCTTGCAGAATCTTGAACTACCACTTGACTTTGTTCATGCTCGGCTTAAAACGAAGACATTTTTGGTTCACATTAAACCAGTCCAAACACAGCTCGCTGATGCTAGACAGCGTTATACAATTCTATATTGCTCTGAAGTTGAACCAGAATTCGGTCATGCTCAGTTAACAGGTGAACCAGAATCTGTCTCGGTTTCGGCTCACCAACAAACTGAAAATGAACACTTACTGATGACAGGTTGATAAATATACCTAGACTTGTAACACATAACCATGTCTTCTTTAGATGAACTGTTAACTTGATTACTCCTTGTGCTTACAGGAGATGGTGGTTCAGGCTCAAAAGTGCGTCTTCGACTCAGTCAGAAGTTTGATGAAGCAGAAACAGTCGACAGCAATGACTTTAAAAGTTCAGATGCCAACTCCAAAAAGAAAGCAAAATTAGGCTGAACTGCCCTCGTTTCCTTTTGGACTGCTTCGAACATTAATATTTTTTGCTTTCTGTCATCTGCACTTCTATACTTAGGCAGATTGTTTATGACTTTTGGAAATGCTGCTCACCTGTTCACAATTCCTTCACTTTTGTACCTGGTTATCTGCTAACCAGCTTTTGTCATGATCAATGAACTTTGATAATAGCACCTGTATCAAAGTTCTTGCCAGGCTTTCAAAGATTGACTGAAATCCTCCATCTTTGACAGCATGAGGATTTCACAGATATCTTTTAATCCCTGACGATGAACTCCCTTTTTGCAGAACTAGCAGCTTTATAATCTATATAATTTGGGATTCATTTCCGTTTCTATATATTTTCTGCAATGCAATTATTATTATCCGTTTGGAAACTCCAGCTTTGTATGCATACTTATTCATTTATTACAAATGACAGCATTTTTTACAAATTAAACTTATATATTCACGTCCTGCTACTTCTATGCCAGCCTACCTACTACAACAAACATGGCAAGTACAGGGTGAATTATGATCTTGCCTTCAGGCCATTAAAGCATTACAAATGCATTACTTTACATGCAGCCGGTTGACAACTCGCACTTAATGCTTCACATTGAATTGTCTTTTCTATTCATTGTCCCTTACCTTCTTCTGCAACTAATAAATCTTTACAATTGTGGTAGGAAGAAGCTTGCACTTGTCATTAAAAGCAATGAAAAATATACTCTTTTTACATTGATCTTTTCTTTATATATATGCTCTTTCCATTTACAAGATCATCCATAACAACTATTAGCCATACATTTGCACTACCGCTTTTTCTGCATAAGAACTTTTCAGCAGGTGAGTTTCTCTACAGTGTATTTCTAATCCTTATTACATGATGTAGCCTTAAACTCACATTTTTCATTAATAGACCACTTTTCTGATTTTCCAGTTTTACAGATTTCCTCCTGATAGTTCAATGGCAGAAACAATCTCAGAATCTCCAACAGATTTTCAACCGACAAATACCTGCTTATCAGCATGCTGTTTTCTGCTCAAATGCATCCATAGAGGACAGGTTAACCTTTAGCTCGTTCACCTACATTGCAGCATTTAGAGTTAAATAGTATGGTATTCTTTGACAATATTTTACTGCTTCATTTTTTTAAGGTATTACCTGCTCAGTTTGAATCATTACTCCGTCAACACCACTGCAATAGAATTATTCTAAGGTTTGGACTGCGGCAATGGCATATCATAGTCACGGATCATAGATTCGCACAAGGATGGGATGTTTTTTGTGAACAAAACATTGTTAAAAGGCATGACACGCTATTACTTCGACATAGCGGGAATCTGATATTTGATGTTATTCACTTTTGTGAACTACAAAAACAAGTTCTTCTGCCTTGGACCGTCCCCCTACTAGATCTATTGCACATGAATGCCATTGCATCAAGAGGTCAAAATACCGCTGTACCTATCTCATTTCCTCATCTATATAGTACATTCTTTTTAATGTAACACAGTCATTTGATGACAGATGATATCCACATGGCCGCTACACACCAGCAAGTTACTTCCTCGCTAAGACCAGATTTCTGTCAAGATCTATCTGATTCAGTGTGCTTTTATCAAATCTTTAACTCCGCAACTCCAAACAGCTTAGTAAGCTATTCTATGTTTACCTGCATTCTCTTTTTTCATCTCAACTTTCTCGCAAGCAATTTCCTTTTGTTTCTGCATATCTTCTAATCTGCACCTTTTGATGATAGAAAATTCCGCGCTTTATTGATCACTTCATCAATGATATCAAGACTCCCATGTTACTTATCAACACTGGACAAAAAACTACTCAAATTGCTGTGAAGCATAAACGCCTTCACCGAAACTGGAGAGATTTCGTTCTTCAACATCAATTGCAACACAATCTTGGCCCTAGGAGTTGCTTCCTATTAAAATATAGTGGCGTGGCCATCTTTATATTTTTTCAGAACATGTTTCTCTTGAAGAACAGTCTAACAAGAAGCTGCACAATTGAAGTTAGAGATACATTTCAGATGATATAAATAAATCATTAGCAGCCTCAAATCCACTAGGTGAAGTGGGAAATGAGCTTAATAGACCCTTTCAGCAAATGATCACGAAGTATTCACTAAGATGGACTCGGTTCTCGGTCATTTAATGGCACCACCACGGGACGAGAGCAGATCCTCTGTCCAATATTTTGTATCCAATTTCCTGTCCAATGTGAAACTACGTAGTTTCACTTATTATATCTATTGATATGGCAACTAAAAATAGGTGTCTGTTTGGCTGCCTAATACTTCTTTTTCTTTCTTCTTTTTTGGGTTTCCTTTGTTTACACAACTTTGTTACAATTCTCATCTTTTTTAAAACAAAGTATCAAGGATTTCAAATACAAAAGAATATTTAAAAAAGATGGGAATTGTAACAAAGTTGTGTAAACAAAGGAAATCCAAACAAGAAAAAATAAAAAGAAGTATAAGGCAGCCAAACAGCCACTTATTTTTAGTTGTCACATCAGCAGATATAATAAGTGAAACTACGTAGTTTCACATTGGACAATTTTAGATGCTCCAATTCTAGATGTTTAAGGTTTAATTTGTGTAACCATTCCCATAAAATAAAATATCTGTACTTCTGATTAAAACTATACTCAAACCTTAAAATCTTTCGGATTGAACCCTGTAAACTCATCAGAACCCAATTTGTAACAGGTGGAAACACCTGTTTATAGAATTCAAAGTTCCCTGGATATTTTGCTGGAGTTTCAAAATTCATCAAGAGTTAGAAAAGCCATTTCCAATGTCTTTGGTACAAGAATTGAAAGTAAAATGGTGGACAGGGTTCAATCAAGAATTTGGAGATCAAGTAAATGTCATAAGATTCCTGACTACTGGGGACAAACTCAAATGGACAAAATCACCACCCATTCAACAAACAGGTGTTTCCACTACAACCACTTCTCCAACAACTCCAATTATTACTACACCAACTCCAACCACTACTCCAATAAAGAAAGAAAAAGAAAAGGACACCGAGATGGTATCCGAGGCCAATTCAAATGACTTTTTGATGAAAAAGATGCTCCAAGACCCAAGACTACTCAAAGAATATTTGGACTATCTACAAAAGCAGGAAAAGAAAGAAGAAACCACCAAAATTGATGAGTCAGCAGAGTCATCCAAATCTACTTTCGATCCTTTTGGAGGACCATGCGGACAAGATCCAAATGACTTTTGAAAAAGATGTCGGCCACAAATAAAGTAAAGGTCACATCTTCAAGAAAGGCAAATGAAAAGCAAATGAAAGACAAATGAAATTCAAACTCAAATGAAAGATGAAGAACCGAGCCTCTATAAATAGAATCAACATTCAGAGGAAAGGCATCGGCGAAAACCATCAGAGTATATAGAAAAATCCTTTGTAACATTCTCAATCTTTCCTACCTACTCCCAACTACTCCATAGTTTGTAAAAGTCCTTGTACATTATTGTCAAAGTTTGAATAAGAGAAATTCAAAGATCAAGACTTCCGTGTGCTACTCAATTCAAAACCTTTCAGTGTAAGTCCTTATACTTTATGTTTATTGCAATTATTTCCAATTAGATGCTCTCATTATTAAACCTGGGTTAGAAGTGGTATCAGAGCCACATACACCCCTGTTTATATGCATACGCATATTTAAACTTTGATTTACATTTTCTAATTTGAATTTAGTTTCTATTTAAATTATCTAGTTCATGCTTTTATGTTCAAGTATTTTATTAAAATTTTACTGAAAACGTTGGTAAGACTTGATGCCTTGTCAGTACGTTTGGTAAGTCCGGAGAAGGATGCTCCAGGCATAGCGCTCGGTTGTTCCCGTCTAGGTAAAACTTTAATTAAATATTAAACATGGCTGCATTTCTTAGACAATTGAAAATAAGATCTAATTCAAAACAAGATAATATAGTTCAAAGTCATGAATATCATATGCCTATAAATAATTCGGATTGGACTATTCCAGAAGAAAAAATAGAACATATTTATAGAATAGGCCCTTTAGATTTCAAAACTGCTTTATCAGTAAAAACTCATGAAGAAACAGTTTCTATTGAAGAAGAATATCAATCTATTCAACTATTAAATCATAATACAATTCAAAAATATTTAAGTAAAGGATATAGATACATCCATATAGGATTAATACAAATTGCTGTAAAACCTTTATTCCATTTAGGAGTAGATGCTCCAATATATTTAGCATTAAGAGATACTAGATTAAAAAGATATAAAACTTCGTTATTATCTATGATTCAAACAAATGGTTGTAATGGACCAATATATTTTAATTGTGCTCCAAATTTTTCAATAGATTTAACAGATCCTCATATTTTAAAATCAGTCATATTAGATATTCATTTACAAGGAAATGAATTTGAAAAACATACAAAGAATTTTGCAATAATATATAGAATATATTATAGACCTTTATCATCTCATTTAAATCCTAAGTTTATAATGACTCCAACTCTAAAAGAAGAAACAATTTTATTACAAGTTGATGCAGATAAACCTACAACATACACACCAAAAAGATTAAAATGGAATGAAATAACAATACCTAAGGAATTTGAAATTAGAAATCCACAAATAGCAAGAAATATAGAACAAACTACTGAAGATATTATAGAAAAATCAGATGGAAGTACTTTAATAAGATTTTCATCATTAAGAGAAAGACCCGAATCTTCATATTCGTGGATATCAGCTAGACATTCAAATTATGAATCCACTGAAATTAATTTTCCCATGGAAAGTACTTCAAATTTTAAATATAAAACTCCAATACCAGAAGTTATAAATCAAAATCAATCAGAATATTCTCCCACACATTCACAAATGAAAGGAGAAATAAATGTTATAAGTAAACCATATAAAATAAATCACCAATATTTACAAGAAGATTTTGAAGATGAAGAAAATACTGAAAAAAGAAATTGGTTTTTTCAATTAGAACCTACATATAAAGAAAAATTAATAATAGAATGGAAAAATGAATTGGATAAGCAAAAATTTGATTTTCCTTTTTTCACTTGGTTAACATTTTATACCTCAAAATTAGGAATAAATGATATATATAATACACCTCAAATAAATGTACAAACTAATTTATATAAAAAATGAAAATTAAAAGATGATCAAATAATAACTTCAATACATCCTCCATTACAAGAAGTAAAAATTAATGTAGGACAAGGAGAAGTAATAGCCTCACCTTTTAAAAAAGGAAGAGAAGTCGA